TATAGATCTTTTTTGGGGGGGGGGAAATAGCCACTTTTTTCTAGCTATTCGATACTGTGGTATGTAAGATTTTTTTTTAATTGCAAATAAATGACAACCGGACTCTGTATTAGAGAGGTGGCTATAAGCTAGTGGCTAAAAGCACAAACTCAGAAGCTAAGGGGCCTAAATGCAAATCACAGTGCCAACATGAACTAGCTGTGAGACCTGAAAGAAATCACCACTTTGTGCTTCAATTTCTTCCTCTGCTTCGTGGGTTTCTTATAATCATTAACTAAGATGATATATATAAATAACTTTGAGTAGTGCCTACAGAGTAGGCACTCAATAAATGGTAGTTTTATTATTATTTACCCTGTGATTATTTTCTAACTTTTCCCAATTGATAAAAAAAAAAAGTCATTTCTGTTAGGCGATCTTTTCAAAATCATCTTATTCTTACTAATAAAGAAATCAAGATTCAGAGAGGTTACTGACAAAGAAATCAATGTCACAAATTAGTAGTAGGAACTAACACTCATAGTAAACAGTTCTTTCCCCACCTCCAAACTTTTTCATATTCTTCTACTAGGATATGTCTTCAGATACTAAGACCTGTAAGTAATAATCAGAAATTATTTTTTCTACTTTTTAAAAAATCATCAAGGAAAGAAATATAGTATAATGTTTAAGAGCATAGCCTTTGCTTTTGGAGTTGGGCTTGGTCTGACTCCCAGCTCTGTCATTTATTAGCTATGTGGCGTTGGGCAAAATATGTAACCTTTCTGAGCCTCTGGTTCCTCAAATGAGAATAACATTACTTAACTAATTGGTTTGATTAAGGATCTTCTTAGAGTGTCACACATTGGAAGTATATATAGATGGTAGCTATTACACATTGTTGTTCTGTTATTATAAACATAAATAAAACTCTCTTCTACCAAAACTGAGGGAGAATCATGATTTCTGCAATGATTTCTCCTAATAGTAAAAAAAGCCACTATGTCACTATCAGTTACTTGTCATTTATTCTTGTAACAAGTAGTAGCCTCATAATTCTCACTTGCTGGATGATGAAGTTTACTGGAAGAGTAAGTATTGTGCTCTACAGATGAGGATTAAAGTAGCAAACACAACCTACACCCAGCCAAAATCATCTGAACATTGCTTATCGAGTTTGTTGATTCATACACTTCCTCATTCTGTTCAAAATTGAAGAAATATAGTACTCATTGGTATTTAAGTCAAAGGATAAGAAGAGAAAATTTTTAAATATTTTATCTACAAATTTCTACAAAAATTCTGAATGGTTAATACTGACTAAAAATTGTCATAATTACCATGAATAAAATTTAACCTTTTACTTTTACTGCAAAAGGCAAATGTGTCAACCTTTATTTAAATGTTTAAAGATACCACAAAATAAGAACAAGTGATCTTAGATCTGGAAATAGAATCCAAGGCTGGGAAAGCAGGGATACTGCTGAAAGCACTTTAAATTAGGGCACACAGAGGGAACTGAGATTGTACGACTTGTATATTATGCTCCTTCCAAACAAGCCATATTTCAATACTTTAGCTTTTTATTTTAAATAGTCATTCAAAATCTTGTAGCTACATAATGCTAATTTGAAAATAAACCACGTTTTTCATACTATTTCAAAAAGTGATATTTAAAAGGATAGAATCTTGGGCTTTATAATTTTTTTTTTTGGTTTGAAAGTTTATCTTCTGCTCTTTTAACTATCTTTAATTTAGTAAGAATCAATAGTATAGAAATACTTAAATCTGTAAATCATTACATTATTGTTATACAAATGCTTTATGGGTTACTTAACAAAACTATATAGTACTATAGAGTCATTAACTGCAAAATAAGGATATATAGACGAAGACTCACTAATACATATTTTTAACCAACAAAACAAGAGTTTTTAAATGAGTGATGTCCAGAATTTGAAACAAAATCTAATAAGGAGAAATATAAAATGTAATAACATTCAGAACAGCCAGATCTTCTATACTAATTTAAGCTCACTGACAAAAAAAAGAATATTATAAATATTATTATAGTAGTTAAAATATATATTAAAAAGTTAACACTTTTTAAATAATCTGCCCAGATTAAGTTACTCACTGGCTGCATATCTAGTAGGTATACAACATGCCCAATAACAGCATTTTCAGAAGTAGTGTCTTAACAGCAGCACAAAAGCTTATATTCGAATGCCAAGAAGCTGATTGGCAATTCAGAGAATAGATGAGCCATCTATCCTGAATACAGACCATGATTTATTTGAATAATGTATATATAATTATTCAAGCTCATTAAAAACCATTTAAGTGCTTGAATGTATTGCTGTGTGGTGTTATGACAAAGAGAGTTCTGCCTTTTAGGGGCAGGAATGTCTAGAGGGACATTCCAGCATTAAAATTTGGTTGAGAATTGAGAGACTTGATGTTTTAAGAGACAACTTTATCTACAATGCACTTCCTGTGGGGTTGAACAGCCTGTGACACAGCTACTAAAACAAGTTCCTCTCAGATAATTATTTATAAAAGTATGCTATAATGGTTTGAAAACAAAAAGAATCTTAAAAATGATAATAGGTTTGCCTCATGAAAGAAGCCATACCTTCTGTATAATTTCATTTATTTAAAGTACAAAAACAAGAGAACTAATACATTCTGTTAGAAGTCAGAATAGTGGTTACCTTTTCAGGGGTGCAAGCTGTGATTGAAAGGGAACATGAGGGGGTTTCAGGGGTGTTGGCAATGTTCTGTTTCTTGAGCTGGGTACAAGTTATAAAAGTAGCTTAGTTTCTGGAAATTCTTTCAGTTGTATACTTATGTGTAGTTTTCTGTGTGTATATTATATTTCCATAAAAAGAGGAAATTGAAAAAAATAGATTAGTTGCAGGAATTAAAAGATGATTCCTTCACAGTTTTGAAGTGTTTTGACGTTATCGAAATAGCCAAATAGCTAACCTTGCTTACCAGGTAGCCTTTAATATCAAGTGAATAGTTACTGCTAGTGAATAGTTACATGGGCCATCCTGCTGACCATAAAGACAAATTCTTTTCTTAAAATCCTGAAATACCAGTGAGCTGAAATTATTTAGAAGCAGAAGTGATTGTTGTTGTTGTTCTAATTTGACTCTCACAGGACTCATTATTTAGGATACTTGATGTTCTGCAATAATTAGCCACTCAAATTGAAAGCACAAACTAATCTCATTTTAACTAATCTTGAAAGCATTTTATTAAGCATATTATAAAGCATGATATTTCTAAAATATTAATATGTTCTGTAAAAGCCATTTAATTACTTATTTTTAGTGCAAAAAATTTTGCTGTTGCAGTTTATAAAAAGCAATGACATCATAACTACATTTAAACTCAATTCTAACACTTATTCAACAATAACTCCTAAAACTTAAATCACACGAGTCTACAGTTGTTAGAGAAGACCACGATTATCACGTTATTATAAATGACCTTTGATAGCAAACAAAGCTGAAGGCAAATAACTCCTTAATAGTTACTAGGCAGTTTGAACCTAAATGTCTCTATAATCTACACACAGAAAATCCATTTTCTGAGATGAAAATCCTTCCTAAATATAAAAACTTCATTCAACTTATGGCCTGTGACTATCACTAAAAATACACTGTATTATTTGTATAGCCTTTACAGTGGATTTTTCCATATCTAGCCATTCCTAACTAAAGTTAGAAACAAAAATTAAATGTGACATAGTGACCGGTTTGCTTGACCAAGACCAGACCTGATAACTTTTGAAAAAGAGTGATAGAATGAAAAATGAGCTTTCAAATACAGGAAGCCACTAGAAAATAAGAACACCACCATTCCATATCCTAAAATTAGAGCTTTAAAGATTTTCTGTTTAATAGTAAGTTTCAGGGCAAGGGGGTGGGGAAGCCAGGGTGGATTCTGCTCACTGTACACACGACACCAATGGGAATAAGGGCCAGCCCAAGTTCTACATTACCATTACTCTAGGTAATAGTTCCAAGCTGTGAGACACAGCTGTATAGGCCCTGCCAGCAAGGCCATAGCAGCAGTGCTTTGATAGCGTGGGGCCCTGAAGTGTCAGGATATAGAGAAGGCAGCAGTTGTTGGCTGTGAAAACAGTCTGATACAAACCAGATGGGAACTTACTAGATGGGCAACACAAAGGAAAACAATTGGCTCATTCAACAAAGTCAGGCCTCTGCCCCAGAGAATTCACAGAAGACAATAACAGTCACCCAGAGTTGATGCAAACAAGAAACAGCCATGTGGTTACAGTTTAAAGAATTGTTTTTCCTCAGACTAAACAAAGTTTTGATTTCTAATTCTTGTATTCATTAATTGTAGTTTGGTGTACAGGCCTTTTGCCAAAGACAAATATTTCCTTTATACAATATATACTTTTGTGGCATCAAGAGAAATATATAGGGACATAGAAACTAATTTGGTGCTGCTTCCTGTAAAGTGCTATGAACATAGGCTGAGCTATTTCAGGAAACTGGCAAATTTAGAAAATGATTGATCATGCTGACACAGTAATTAGAAAATATCCAACATAATATTTCCAGGACTTCCTGTGTCTGATTTGTTTTAATGTAGGCAGAATGACATGAAAAGCAATAATCACAAGTTTCTCAGAACTACATTTCTACCGAATTGATTTTTTCCCCAACTTCATTAGTTGGGACAGTATCATAGCAATTATATTCACAGGAAAAAAGTGCCAGGGTTCCCTATAGCCTTACTGTGTGAAGCTCATTCAGAATAGAAAATGCCTCTACATTCTGAGTTGACAAATATAACATAGATTAACAATTAGATTTTTTAAGATAACTTTGACAGTAACATTTCACTTAAAGACTTTTGTAGGTATATATCCCATATCAGAGTAATTTATTGACTAAATTTAATCATCAAATCAAAAAAATCAGTTTCTGCTATTATAACCATGAGCTGAATAACTATGTAAAAAGTAAGAAAAGAAAAACTAAAAAAAGAAACATGTCATTTATTGAAATCTTACATAAGAGGAATTAAGAATAAACATATCACTCATCAATGAATCAGTTCTATTAAAAGTTTGTTAAAAGTTTTTTTCAACACATGGAATGAACTCTCTTACAAAATGATTAACAAAGGCAGTCTGTCTTAGATTTATTAGCAAATTATTTCTTAGACCTTGGATTAACTCATGAAAAAAAAACCCAGTATATCATTAGGTATACTGATAATTATTTATGCACTTATTCAGAAATTGCCCATTTCTACTTTCATGGGGTGCTTATACATATAAAGATTTCAACCCAATAGACTAGCATAAGTTTTATAAGAAGTAATTGCGTTTAACAAGTTTTTATCTCATAATAGATCCTGATATGATTTCAGAGAATAAGACAAGGGCCAGATCGTGCAGACCTTTTAGATCACTGTGAGGAGTCTGAACTTTATTCTGGTACAAAAAGAAGTCTTTGGAGGGTTTTGAACAGGGAGTCATGTGATCTGATTCATATTTGAATATGAATCATTCTTGCTCTGGGTAGATAACAGACAACAAGGAATCAAAAATGAATATAGGAAGACCAGTCGAGATACTTCTCTGGATAATATTAAGGTTAAAGGATATTAATGCCTAAAAAATCAACTGCACAACTACAGAAGGTAGAAAACTTAGTTTGATATCAAATCATTGAAAAAAATCTTGGACAGTTTTATTAGAACACTGAAAAGCACAGTATCAAGCAACAGTTTTTAAAAACTTCTGTGGACATTGAGACGGAGTAGTGAGATTACTAACCAACCTCTGTGAGCCTCACTTTTATCATCTATGTAATAAAAACAATTATAAAAATATTTTTACATACTCACAAGTTTGCTGGAAAAATGAAATATTTTTTCATTGTGAGAGTTCTTTGTCAGCTGAAAAGCATTTGACAAATGCTAGTTTCATCGTTGTAGGTATGGAAACAGATCTACCACACTTGGCAGTGATTGTATTCTGTCCTAGTGTATCTCTATGCAAGATATACTGACTAGAGCATGATCAAACTAGTAAAGAGCTTGAAAAAATGATATAAAACAAGGAAAAGAGCATCAACTTTGTACTCAGGCAGATACAGACCTGAATTCCATATTTTCATTTTCTAAACTGTATGCTGTAGGAAAATTAGTTAACCTTCATGAACCTTATCCTTCACTCTTACAAAATGGAAATAAAACTACCTGTATGGCATGCACTGTAAGGAATTAATGAGATATTGTAAGGAATAAATGAGATGATAACATGGAGTAGTCAAAACCTACTCTAACTCCTAAGAAACTACTGGTTTGTTCTCCACCTAATTTTGTTTCTTCAAAATGTCATAAAAATATATTTGCCATAAAAAAACAGTTTGCAGCCTTATGAATTTGGCTTCTTTTGCTTTATATAATGCAGCTGAGTTTCATCCACACTGTTGTGTATATCAGTACTCCATTTCTTTTAACTGCTGAGTAGTATTCCATTGTATGGATGTACCACACATTGTTTACCCATTTACCTGTTGAAGGACATCTTGGTTGATTCCAGTTTTGGGAAATCATGAATGAAACTGCTAAAAAATATTTGAGTACAAGTTTTGTGTGAACGTAAGTTTTCAGTTTTCTTGGTAAATTTATATTTAATTTTATTTAAAAATTGCCAGACTGTTTTCCCACGTGGTTGTAGCATTTTGCATTCCCACCAGCAATGTATGAGAATTCAAGTTGCTCTGCTTCCTCATCAATGCACGGGATTATCAGTTTCTTTAATTTCAGCCAACCTGATGGGTATTTAATTTTTAATTAGCATCTCTCAAGTAACTAATGATATTGAACATCTTTTCATGTGCTTAATTATCATCTACATAGCTTTTTTGATGAACTTTCTATTCAAATCTTTTACCCATTTTTAAAATTGGATTGTTCATTTTCCTACTAGGAGTTTTGTGAGTTTTTAAAATAAATTCTGGATCCAAATTCATAATCAGAATGGATTTGCAAATATTTTCTCCCAATCTACAGTTTGTCTTTTTTTCATTCTCTTAACATTGTCTTTTGAAGAACATGTTTTTATTTTGACTAATTAATCAATATATTATTTTATGATCTATGGTTTTTCTGTAATATCTTAAAAATCTTTGTCCAACTAAAGGTCACAATGATTTTCTCCTATATTTTCTTCTAGAATTTCTGTAATTTTAGACTTTATATTTAGACTTAGGATCTGTTTTGAGCTCATTTTTACTCTTTTGTGAGATATGGGTTGAGGTTCCTTTTTACATACAGATGACCACTTGTCTCAATACCATTTGTTGAAAAGATTATCCTTTCTCCATTAAATTCTTTGCCACTTCTGAAAAATCAATTGATTATACATGTGTGAACTATTTTTGGATTCTATTCTATTCTATTGATCTATTTGTCAATCTTTATGCCAATATTACACTATCTTGATTACTATAGCTTTACAGTAAGTTTTAGAATCACATAATATAAATCCTCTACCTTATTTTTCTTTTTAAAAATTATTTTGGCTATAATAGGCCTTCTGCTTTTCCTTACGAGTTTAAATTTAGCTTGTCAATTTCTACCAAAAATCTTATTAGAATTTTGATTGAGATAGCACTGAACATATAGATCAAGTTGGGAAGCACTGACATCTTATTTTTGAGTCTTCTATTACATGAAAATATGATCATCTATTCAATTATTTAAGTTCTCTTTAATTTCTCTCATTGGCTGTTTTTGCAGTTTTTAGCACACAAATATTGCAAATATTTTATTAGATCTATACCTAAGTATTTCATGTTTCTGTTGTTATATATTATAGTTTTTAATTATAATTTTCAATTTCTCACTACTAGTACAGAGAAATATCACTGATTTTTATATATTGACATTGTAGCCTGTCTTGATATAATCATGTATTAGTTTTAGTAGGTTTTTTTTTTTTGTAGGCCTTGTTGGAGTTTCTACAGACAATCATGCATCAGCAAATAATAATGTTTATTTTTCCTTTTCTAATCCATATGCCTTTTATTTCTTTTTCTTGCATTACTGCATTGGCTAGGACTGCCAGTATGATTTTTGAATAGAAGTAGTGACAGCAGATTTCATTTGCCTTGTTTCTAATTTATTGGGAAAGCATTTAATCTTTCACCATTAAGTGTGATGTTGGCTATAGGTTTCTTGTAAATGTCTTTTACTGTGTTGTCCTTTGATTCTTAGTTTTCTGAAATTTTAATCGTGAATAGATGTTGAATAATGTCAAAAGCTTTTCTGTATCTATTGAGATCATCATTTTTTTTCTTTAGTCTTTTCATATGGTGACTAATATTGATTTTGAATGTTGAACCAATCTTATTTTACTGAGATGATCCCACTTGATCATAATTGACTATCTTTTTATATATTGTTTGATTCAATTAATATTTTGTAGAAGAATTTGTGTTTATGTTCATAAGAGATATTTGTCCATAACCTTCTTTTCCAGTATTATCTTTGTCTGGTTTTATTATCAGGGTAACACTAGAAAGAGTTCTTTCCTATTCTGTTTTCTCACAGAGTTCGAGTAGAATTGGTATTATTTTTCCATCAAATATTTGGTAGAATTCTCCAGGAAAGCCATCTGAGCCTGGAGTTTTCTTTGTTGGAACATTTTAAACTAAGAATTCATTTTCCTTTAGTAAATATAACATTACTTAGGTTATCAGTTTCTTCTCAAACAAGGAGAGAAAAATTTTCCATTCTGACTACATTGCCAAATTTATGAGCATAAAAGATATTCATAATACTGCCTTACAATCTCTTAATTTCTGTAGAATTTGTACTGGTTTCTCCTTTTTAATTCCTAATAATGATAATTTGTGTGTTTTCCCTTTTTTTCCTTCATCACCTTGGCTAGGGTTTATCAATTCTATTAATCATTTCACAGAACCAGCTTTTGGTTTCATTGAGTTTCTGCTATATTTATGTCTTCAATTTCATTCTGTTATTTATTTCCTTTCTTATTATTATTAGAAGTTCTGATTTTTAACTCCACTGAAATCAGAGGATATATTCTGTACGATTTCAACTGTTTTAAATTTATTGAAGTTTGTTTCATGACACAGAATAAGGTCAATCTTGGTGAATGCTCTATGTGTACTTAACAAGTGTAATCGGCTTTGTATCAATTAGGTCAGATTGGTTGATATTGTTGCTTAGGTCTATAGTCTGACTTTCTATTTACTTTTTGTAATTCTTACTAAGGAGAGTTAATATCTCCAATTATAATTGTGAATTTGTCTATTTCTCCTCAGAGTACTACCAATTCTTCCTTCGTGTATTTTAAAGTGATGGTGTCAGATATATACATATTTAAGATTGTTATATCTTCTTGATGAATTAACCCTTTTATCATTGTTTAATGTCTCTATCTTTGGTAAAATTGTATGCTTTGATAGTCTTTACTCTGATATGGCTGATGTTCATATAGCCACTCAGGCTTCTTTTAATTAGTGTTTGCATTGTTTATCTTCTTTCTATCTTTTTACTTTTAATCTATGTCTTTATATTTAAAGCAAGTTTCTTATTGACAGTTGTTTCTTTTCCCCTCATTTTATGCCCTCTTGGAGTAATTGAGTAGTTTTAATTTAGTATTATTTTAAAATATTTTAATGATTAGTTTACAATATACATCTATCACTTACCATATTCTACTTTCAAAAAATATTATATCACAACATATACTGTATGAAACCATCAGTATACTTCAATTTCTCCATCCTATATTTCATGCTATCACTATCATTTTATTTTTACAGGCTCTATAAATAGATAATATATTGGTATTATTTTTGCTTTGGACAATTATCTTTTATAGTGATTGAAATAAGAATTCTTTTATTTATACCTTTGTTTAACCACCTCAGAAGCTCTTCATTTCTTAAATCCAAGCTTCTTTTTGGTTATCTTTTAATTTCTACCTGAAAAATTTCCTTTAACTTGTTGGTCTCTCAGTTTTCATTTACTTGGAAAAAAAAAAGTATTTATTTTGCCTTCATTTTTGAAAAGCATTTTTGCTAGATACAGAATTCTGGGTTAATTTAACTTTTCTTTTTCCTTTGTAAATGTCACTCCATTGTCAACTGGACTGTGGGTTTGTAATAGAAATTGAAGTATTTCTTATCTTTCTTCTTCTGTAAGTGATATACCTTTTTTTTCTGGCTTCCTAAAACATTTTCTCTTTCTCTTTGGTTTTCATTAGCTTGAATATGGTGTGTATAAGAATTTTTTCTTTTAATCTCACTTGGAGTTCTCTGAAATTCTTGGACTGTAGTCTGATATTCTCCATGGTTCTTATAAAACTATTGGTCATTATCTCTTTAAGTACTCTCTTCTGTTTGCTTTCTCTTTTCTTGTTGGGATTCCAATTAATATATGTTAGGATACTTGATATTGTTCTTGGATGCTCAAAAATTTTTCCCATTCTGTTTCAATTTCAAATGACTATCGTCAAATTTACTGATTCTTTGCTTATGTTGAGTCTACTGATAAGCCCAGTGAAGTCATTCTTCATCTTTACTACTGTCTTTCCCCTTCACATTTCTATTTGACCCTTTCCTATAATTTCCATCTCTCTGCTCAAATTCCTATCTGCTCATGCATGTTTTGTCTATCTTTTCTACTAATATAATGATTTCTACATTAATCATAGTTATTTTAAATTCCCTGACAGTTCTACCAACTGAGTCATCTGTGAGTCTTATCTTAATTGCTTTGTCTCGTAAGTGTGGACTGTTGTTGTTTTCATGCTTTTTTTTGGTATGACTGAATTCCAGACATTGAGTGTAACTAAGACAATAGAGAATGAAGTTAAGTGGTATTTAAGCTTGGAAATGGGGACATCTCTTCTTCAGTTAGTCCATTAATATAAAGAATTGAATCAATTAAGTCAGGAGTTAAGTTGGCTTTGAGTTTTGTTGTTGCTGCAGTTAACTTCGGGGTACCACCAGCTTAAAAATCCTCTAGTGTTATACTGTGTTTAGGATGGGCCCTAGTACGCCAGAGTGTTTTTCTCAATGTTCTTGTTCTACCTTTAGCTTTCAGCTTCACTGTGCACCTGCAAAAAAAACAAAAAGGGAGTTTCTCCTCTCTACACTCTGTACCTTGCCCACTGGTAGACTGCTGCTTCTTATTACTCAAATACTTGTTGGTCTCATAGTGAGGGACCGGGAAGGAGTAGTTCTCTGTTGTCCTGGTCCAGCTTCAGTCCCAAGCAGATCCTGTATGCCCTGGTCTTGTGATGGGGGTTTCTCAGTGATCCTGTCTCTGTTCTCAGTGGCAGCCAAACTCTGCCTTGTCCCTTTAGCAAGTTTTATGTAAGTGAGTTTCCTATCCTCTCCCATCAGTAAGAGATCTCTAACAATATTGATATAAGATTGTGAGATCAAGACTATTTCCTTCCTTTCCCCCAAAAGTGAATGGGTTTTCTTTACTCTTCCCCCAGCCACAATGGGTTTTCTCCTATACTTTGGAGGTGACAGATATGCTGCCCCTTCCCCAGTGACTTAAGGCTTTTGTTCTTTCAGGAAAATGGTCCAAATGGGGCATCCAGTCTTTCTGGAACTCTCCTCTTTCAGGTCTGTACAGGTGAAGGAATAATCTCTCTAGTCTCCTGCCTTGCTTCCTAATTTTTCTTCTTCTAGGTCTGTGGAAAAGAGACTTCAAGTGAGGATAAACATCCCTTATATCAGTATTGGTATGTTTGGTCTTCAGCAACCCATTAATAAAGTTTAGCCAAATACAACTTATCCACTTGTATGGTGACTTGTATTTCTTCCTGTGATTGTGCTCTGGCACACTTAGATAATGCTTGTGTCCCATCTCTTCAGAGGATTCCGTCTTTCCTTGGACTTTGGGCAACTTAGTTGTTCTGCATCACAAGTTCTCTGATGGGTTTAAAAATGTTATGATTTTGTAGTTTATCTGACATTTTATTACAGATAGGGTAGAAGTGACACTCTTTACACTTTCTTCATCCAAGGTGGAAAGAGAATTCCCAAATCAGGCAACATTTAAAAATGAATTTCTATTTTATTAATCAATAATAGCATGGATTTGCAGAAGATACATTTATTCAGATAATGCTTGTTAAGCACTTAGATTTGGGGAAGACTGGTCTTCCACACATGGTTTTGAAATCACTTGTCATATACCTTAGGAACAAAAAAAGCAACTTAAACTTTTAACTGTGATTTTAAAATTACTAAGATCAATTATAATTCTGATAGCTATAGTAATTTAGCTATATATGAAATACAAAGGCAAAAATATACCACCTTATTGAAAAAAAAAGATTTCATTTGCACGTGGTTGGAAATAGCTTCTAAATATACATAAGCTTTGAATTTCCTAATTCTCATATATTTAAAGTCATAATTACTATATGTGTGATATACAAGGTGCTAAGATAGCTAGGAATTAAGCTCAGGATATAACGTCAAAAAAATCTGTGATTCTGTAAGTTTATTTCCAATAAAAATGTAATCTGCTTTTGATAAATTACTGCAATCACACATCACTTTTTGCATTTTGACACATATTTTCTGAACAACATATATAATCTACAAATAAGAAAACTGAAGAAGTCTGAGATTTTCAAGCAACTTTGACAACTTGCCTTAGCATAATCACAAAACATATGATCTGTTTTCCTTATTGATTATTGTATAGCATGTCTGACTTTCTAATTATTATTTATTAGTGGTTTTTTAATTTTAAGAGAAAAAGGCAGAAAATACTTTTTAAAGTTAGCTATTTTAATATATCACTACAGAATTAATTGTTCCTGGTTCACAATGAATAAAATGGATTTAAATCTAGTCTTTCATTTGTATTGAAGAAAGTTAACTTGTACAGTGAAGGGGAAAAATTTAAATGACATAAAAATCACTTAAAAAGTTGCTTTCACTATAAAACTACTAGGCACATTAACTGGGACATAGAATCAGGTAAGTGGCAACATATATGTGGCTGAAAATATACCCAATGAATTCAACACCAGATGAAAGAGTTTTACTCTTTGACTCCAAAGATGCCATCTGTCAGAACAATCAATTCAATCTCTCTTTTATATTAAAATCTGAAAGTAATAACCAAGGGGGAGTGGGAACAAGGATTTTACAGATTTCCCAGAAGCACAGTGCTAGAATCTATGTCTTGCCATATCCTCCGTTAGTTTTTAACGGACGATCATTGAAAGAGCTGCTACTGCTAGTAAACTGCTTGATTTTTTGTGCACACATAGTAAGCTATTATGCATTTCAGAGTAAAATACATGATACTTCCTCCTGAAATAGTCATAATTTGGGGTTCAAGTATTCTTCGAAACATTTATCTGCCAAACAAGATGTGGTTTTGATTCCCTTGTGATAAGGTGAATTTGCTTCATTATCTTCAAGGCCTCTGTGTATGAGATAGGATTGAATTCCTTCAAGGTCACCCAAAGTCCTGAGAACCCTAGAGGATTATTTTGGCACTCTGACTCTCCTATTCTCTGAAACATTTGGCCATGTCTCAGAGTTTCATCAGAGAAAAAATAAAACCCAGAAAATGTATGGGAAAAAAGTCAAAACTGACTGTATTTGCCAAGGCAATTATATTCATTCAAAAAATATTCAGTATGGAGATACATATCAATTATAGAGTGAAACACTTGGCTTCTATTTAAAATGCTCTATTTATAGCTCACTGGGTATTTATTTGTCTTAGTCAAAGCTGACATAGGTCTGCTCTCCTAACTTCTGTATTCAATGTAAAATTAAATGAAACAAATTTACACACATTAAGTTCACTGTTCTAAATTCTTTCTAAATAAAACTTCCTCTTACCAGTAACAACTTAGTTTCTTTTATTCCAATGATTTTTATTGACTTATTAAATGATAATTGGACATTATTTAATGGCATTGTTGTAAGTCAACAAAAATTTAACTGTTGCCATCTTGTGGTCAGACATTCATTTAGATGAAATAATGTCACTTTCCTAAAGAGAGATATTTACCTTTAAAATCTTACCAAAGACATTTTCCTATAAGCTGAGAAAAATGATCATTTTACTGCATATAACATCCCCCCAGGAGACATTTATAATTTTAAGAAATTATAACTTTTTAAAAACTAAATTAAATGTAAAGTCATTGACCATGAATGATAACGGTACTCAGCTGAAGGACATTATCAGTCCTGATACTATGGTAGTAATATTCATTTGCTTTATATACTGTCATGATTAATTTTTAAATACCATAAGAAGAGTTTTATAGGCAATTATCCATAGGATTCTAAAATATAATATTAATGCTACTATACCACGGTTAGGTTAAAAAAGTAGTTGGGAAGGCAAAGTTGTCACAAGTTGGAGCAAGAGAGGAACAGAAAACAAACAGGAAAGTAAAAACCTAAACCTCATATAGCATAATCTTAATAAATTGCTTCTTAATTTGGGGCCTCCCTAAAATGCCAAATGCATAGTTATATTTGCAATTATACTGGCACTCAATAAGTGGAATAAAAAAGCATAATTATAAAAACAAAGAAAAACATTTCACCACTTAAAATATTCCAAATACTTCTTCCTGGATTGTGAATAGAAAGTTTTAAACAGAAGACTTCTTAATTTCTACTGCTAAATTTCAGAATTAGGTTATATGAAATTTAAATGACTAGGAAGCAAGAAAAGTTCATTCATATGATAGCATTTAATGTAAGAATTCTTTTTTTTTAAGTTGTACTTGGTCAATATCACCACATAACACTAACTAACCTTTACAAAGCACCTTACTTAACAGCCATAACCCCTGACTTTATCATATTATAATTCAAAACAGACAACTATGATATAGATACAAATCCATATGTAGATAAAAAGACATTCACTTGTACAAGAACCAAAAGGTAAGATTAAAGGAAAAACACTAGCTGAGAGTTTTTTAAATCTATTTAGCAATAGAGTTTATTGGTAAAAAGAACTAACAAATATATCATCAAATATGATACCAGATTCTTTAAATGGACCAAATGAGAAAAAACAGACAAAAAGAAGACTTAGCAAGATGTATGTAAAAGTAAAGATTTCTCATTATATATTTGTTCGCTATCAGGACAAGTATCAAACTATTATATCATTACAAGAAAATGAATCTTACCTTGCTGTTGTGAAAGTGAAATTTCCGATTTATTTCTCACATGTATTATACGACTTTGTGCTGGCTTGTGTTCAACTTGCTTCACATCTTGGTCTTGCCTTTGTTGGTACTAAAGAATTTAAGACATGAAGTCATAGTATTATTTTTAAAGTTACTTTAAAATAATTTGAACAATTAAATTACTTAGGTGCATGCCTCCTAGTTGCCCAAATGGGTGATAGAGTACATGTTACTAAAGATATTGCAAACAAAATCTTTAAAAAGATTTGGATAACACACATAGATTTCAAACATTCAAATCATTTCTATTTTTACTAGAAAATTCAGAGCTACTTATAAATCAAACTATTCTTGACATATATGCATGAGGGATTTAGACAAGATAAAACTTAATTTGGCTGTAAGCTCTCACATATTACTATTTTTGCATAAAATGAACATTTGCATAATGCACTGCAATTTCAAAAAGCTTTTATATATAGTAACATCATTTAATTCTCACAGGTGTAAGAGGTATTGTTATACTCTTTGCCATTCAAGAAATGTACACTCTACCATAAGCCTCACCGTCACTCCTCCTTACCTACATAACCTAAACGAATTTGGAATTTACAGCAGTCAAAAATTCCTTCACAATCACACATCACAAATTGTGATGACTTTAGCCATTTTCTTTCTTCCCTTTCCTAATTTATGGGCCTAATTATGAATGAGTCCCTAAAAAACAGCTATTAGGTATATTTTGACAGGAACTTAAAAAGTTATCTCTGGACTCATCAACAACTACAAGCAGAGAAGGATCTGAAACACCTGTCCACATGGACTCAAATGTAAACCACCCTGACTGGCAGGCACCTATTTACAGATAAAAGCGAGTAACTTTAGACTGCAGTAGTAACAACTAGCTTTAACTCTGGTCTTCTAAGTTTAGAGCCATTTGTCATGTAGGTTTCTGCCTTGAAACAAGTATTATTTCGGTGTGCATTTCTAAGATGAATACTATGACTATCTATGGCTACTTCAGCTTAGAACCTCCATATTGGCTCCCTTCCCTAACCATAGTGATTAAGAGCTGAGCATTGTGGATCTAAACTGTTTGTGTTCAAATCTGGCTGTCATTTTCTAGCTTTGACCTTGGGCAAGTTATTAACCCCTAATACCTCAATTTCCCCATTTATAAAATGGGGATAATAATAAAAACTATCTCATGAGGTTGTTATAAGTATTAAATGAATTAAATATGTAAAGAACTTAGAACAGCATCTGGTAGAGTAAGTACTGTGTGTGCTATTATTATTACTAGCCATACTTCTCTGATAAAGAAATCTAACAAAGGAATTTTTTGAGGTCCATTCTTCAGGTAACACTTCATAGTTTTATTTTAAAATAGGCCAACAATTAAAGGAAAGCAATCTTTATTTTCAAAATAGTTTTACTGAGATATAATTGATAGACAACAATCTTCACATACTTAAAGTATACAATTTGCTAAGTTTTGGCATATGTATATAATATACCCATGAAACAATCACCACAGCCGAGATAATATATTGAACATATCCATCAATCTCAAAAGGTTTTTCAGATCCTTTTGTGTTCTTTGCCATTACTATAGATTAATCTGCATTTTCTAGACTTTTACATAAGTGGAATCACAGAAAATGCACATCTTTTTTTGGGGGGTGGGGGTTCTGTCTTCTTTCCCTCAACATGACTTTTGTGAGAATCATTCATGTCATTTTCTGTTTCGGTAGCTCATAGCTTTTTATTGCTGAATAGTATTCTTGTATAGATTATACCACAGTATGTACATTGTTTGTACACAGTTTGTACATTGTGTTGTTTCCAGCTTGGGGGATACTACAAATAAAGTTGCTACATTCAAGTACAAGTCTTTCTGTAGACATATGTTTTAGTTTCTCTTAGGTAAATACTTAGGAGTGAAATGCCTGGGTCATATAGATGTTTAACCTTTTAAAGAAATTGCCAAATTGTTTCCTAAAGTGGTTGAATTATCTTACATTCCCAACTAGCAGAGAGTTCAGTTGCTCCACATCCTTGCCAACATTTGGCATGTCAGTCTTTTTAATTTTTAATATTCTAATGGGTGTGAAATAATATTTCTTTGTGGTTTTAATGAGCATTTTCCTAATGATTAATGATGTTGAGAATCTTTTTATGTGCTTACTTACAATCAGATATCTTCTTTAGGTAAGATATCTGTGCAAATACTTTACTTTCTAATTGGATTGTTTGTTTTCTTCCTATTGAATTCTGTGAGTTCCTCATATATTCTGGACACAAGATAAGTGATTTGCAAGTATTTTCTCCCAGTCTTTGGCTTGTCTATTCATTTGCTTAACAGTGTGTCTGAGTACAGATCAAATAACTGATGGTAATGTGTCTTGAAGAGCAGAAGTTCTTATTTTGATAAGACCAATTTGGAAGTTTTGTTCTTTCATGGTTTAACTCAGTATGAAATTTCTTATTTTTTATGGTAACACATTTTGCAAATTTTAATGTAATACATATTTACTGAGTACCTACTATGCACAAATTACTGAGCTAGAAATTGCATGGGGTTACAGAGATATAAATGGTAATAGCTACCTAACCTAGGTAACAGGTATTTTATACACATTAATTTATTTTTAAAAAATTTAAATTTTTAATTTAAAGATGAGGAAATTGAGGCTTAGAAGAAGGCTAAGTGATGTGTTCGAGGTCACAGCTAGAAATGAAATGAACTAAGGTTTATATCCTGGCTAGAGTAAGTAAATAAAGGAGGCATGAGTTGAGGCTATCTGACTCCAAAGACTATGCTCTTAAGAGTGTACCATGCTAAGGCAATATTGTTATCATTCTCATTTTAAATAAAGTAAAGTACTATTGACTGGTTACCTGAGGAAAATCTTCAGCTGCTACTGGTAATTTAACATCATTTTCTTGTGCTGTCAGAAGTGTTGTGGGAAGAGAAAGATGAGAATCTGGCTGCAACTCCAATTCTCTCATACTCATTGGACCATGACTAGCACATGAATCTTCATAAACACCACCTGTTATCAAATATACAAACAAAAAGTTAAAATAAATTGTTTCTCTTAGACAAAGAATAAATAATTGACTAAAATCACCAATATTTCTTACCTACTGAATTAGAAGTAGCAGTGTACTTCAACCAAACACCTGGTACAAAGCCTTTACTGCAATTAAGACCAAAACTCATAGAGAATGCAAAAAGTACCTATGTTCAAACAAATCTATGGACTGTTCTAAGGTTCCAACCAACAAGTTGCACATGTGATCTAGACCAAACCACACCAACTCCTAACATGTCAGCTTACCTTTTCTTTTGGTAGGAGTCAACAGAATACTTTCTATCTAAGGGGCAATTTCTTGGCTAGAAAATGTTGGTATTGCTTAGTGCTGTTCTGTAGATATTTTTCTTCAAATGATCAAGTTACTCTTTTCTAGAGTTTATACGAAAGAGCAAATGACTGACAATTGCCAAGAAAAGTATAAAATATAATTTTAAAAAGGGAAACTTGCCTTATCAGATAACAGAATGTATCATAAAGACAGAATAGTCTAATATATTTTAGATAATAAAGAATGTTTTAGATCCAGAATACGTGGAATAAAGAACCCGGAAATATATTCCTACATCTATGGGAATTAATATATAAATTGGTTAATATTTCCATTCAAAGATAGTAAAAAGATAGTTTACATAATAACTAATGCTGACACAACTGGCTATTTATATGGAAGAAAATCAGAAGGGACTTCTACCTTACACCAGCTGCAAAAATAAATTTTGGATACACTTAAATATAAATATATACTAACTAATGAAAATCTTGCAAAAAAAAAAAATCTAGGAGACTACAAGTATAAGCTTGTGTTATGGGAAACCTAACCAAGCCATGAAGACACAGAAAATATAAAAGACAGAAATATAACTATATAAAAGAATTTCATTATATGGCAGAGATCATAAATAATGTCAACGAACAAAGTATAAATTTAGAAAAAGATATTTGTAAAACAGATGACAGAAAACATCTAAAATATAGAAAAGTTACAAGAAAATTTAGAACTTAAAAGATGGGGAAAGAACCTAAGTAGGTAATTCACAGAACAAATCCAAATGGCCAACAAACATGAAGACATAAACTCAGTAGTCAGAGACACATATTTATATTTCAACTGACAAAAATAAAAAACAAACACAATTTCTGGGGGGTGAGGGATGCAGGGAAAAGGCTCTAAAAAATTAATAATAAAAATACATTGGTTTAAACTTTTAAGACAGTAACTTGGCTTATTTATTTTAAAATTAAAAATATATTTGTCCTGGGACCAGTAACTACTCCTGGGAAACTATTCCATAAATAAAAAATGCAACAATATGTTAGGATATATGTGTATGGATATGTACTTGAGCATCACTTATAGTGGAGGGAAATGGTAATAAAGTAAATATCCATCAACAAAGACTGAATAAATTATCAGAAATCCACACTAAAAGGTTTTATGCCATTGTTTAAAATAAATATAAGCAGTATCAGTTGACCTGGAGTAATTTCCAAAGAGTTTACTGAGTAAAAACAAAATGCAGGTGAGTGTGCATGATATAATCTCAACTTGTAAAATAATGACACACACATACATTTATGTGTGCCTATCGTATACATCTCATGTGTGTGTATGCGTATGATTATATATGTGTAAGGAAAAAGAAGTTTATACACCAGAGTCTTCCTATGAGTTACCTGGGGTAAGGCATAATATGGGACAGGAAAAAAATGTGAGGAAGAAGAGGGTGGATGAAAGGCTCTCAAAAAAAAAGAGTCTACAATTTCATGTATGACATAAACATATTTTGTTTTTATGTAAAATTATATGTGGTGAATGTATGGGTATAAAGAAAAAATTAATTAAAAGGACACAAGGTAAATTTCGATGAAAGAAAAGAACTAAACATAGAAACCCAGAAGGTATATAATCAAACATCTCCCCAAAAGCATTTAAAGTGCATAATAGCTTTCAACTCATGTAATACTCTATCATTTAACATATATTTACTGACTATGCACTAGGGCTACATACTCTGCTAGATGACAGGGATATGACAGTGAACAAAGTAAAGTCCCTACCCTCAACTGAGATTATAAATCAGTATAATGACATCAACATTAGGCAGGCGACATTAGAGGACTATACAGAAAGCACATATGACAGGTACCAACTCAGTGATAACGAGTCAGGAAAGGATTCTATGACAGCAATCATAAAAATGCTGGATTTGCTGTGTCACTTCTAAAAAGAATGTTCTTTGAGTGTAGGTGTATTGTCTATATAATGTAAGTTAACCCTTTGTAAAAGGGACGGTTAAAGTATTTCATTCAAGTCCAATTAATTTAATTAATCATAATTTGAAATCCCTGATTTTACTTTACTAGAATTTTATTATGACAAAGCAACTGCGGTAGAATTTCAGAGAACACTAAGTCCACTTGAAATTGCCAGTGCCAGCAACAGCTTTGGGTTTGGCATGTCTTATAGATCATTACATTTGTATGAAACTCAAAGGCACCTCAAATTCCACATGTATAAAACCCCACTCATCTATATTTCCTCGTAATTCTGTCCTTCCTCCAAATTCCCTCTCTCTCAGTGAATGCAAATACCATCTATTCAATCATTCTAGCCAGAAACCTGGAGATTTCCTAGACTTTCCTTTCTTTTGTACCTCTCATATTCAAACTAAAAATTGGTCATTCTCAATTTCTCTCATGTCTCTCTTTTTATATACCCTTGCTGCTGAATAATGTCTCACCAGGTTTGCTTTAATAGCTGTCTAATCAGCCTCCTTGCCTCTAGACTTAATCCTCTCCAATCTGTCCATCACATTGCATCTCAGACGAACTTGCTAAATAAAAGGCAAATATGATATCACTCATTTACTTATAATCCTTAAAGAATCTGTGAATATTATAAAACTTTCAGAATTAGTAGAAATTCAAGATTGAATTTTCCATGGGAATAAAGTAAGATTGACGTTATTTTCCATTTAGCACAAAAATTTATTCCTACTATCTAGCATAAATCCAAAAACTACTTGATATATCATTCAGGGTTTTTTAAGACCTGTTTTCTGCTCATGGCTCCAATCTCATTGCATCCTCAGCTCTAATTTATCAATAAAGAACTTATATTTCTGATTAAGTCTTGCTATTCTTTATCCCTTTGTCTCATTGTATATTCTGCCTGGAAGGTCATTCCTCACTTACTACATGACAAACATCTATTTATCTTTGAGAACTCATTTCAAGTAAGCCTCCTCTCATGCATGAAGCCTTTTTTGATTGTCCTTCACAGATACAACTATTCTGTACTCCCATCCTATATGGACTTCTTCACAACAACTATAATAATTCATTGCATATTTTTGCCATCTCCTCTAACGAGAGAAAAAACTAGTTCATTATGGACAGGGCCTTACCAGGTTTTATATTCCAAGCACCCAGAATGTGCTTAGAGCATAGCAAGCATTTCAAAAAATATTTCCTGAATGAATAAATGAACAAACTGGAACATGCTTATCATAATTCACCATCTGGCTAATTCCTTTAAGATTCAATTTCACACTGGCTCTTGTGGGAAACCTCTGAACCCTCAGGGGCGGGTTGAGTTCCTCTGCGCTCTCACAGCAGTCTGTGTTGTACTAATCACACGATATTGTAATTGTAGTCTTTCTTGTATTTCGCCTATAGTAGTTTATAAACTTCCCTGAGAGCAGATGTGTATTATCTCTGTATCTCAAGAGCCTAATATAGCACTAATATAGTACCGGATACACAGTAGGTATTCAATACAAGTTTTCTGAATACATGAAGAGCTATAATGGATAGTAAATCCCAGAGTCTTCACAATTTGTTCAAAATACCAGTTTATATTTTAGGGTTACTTGACCCAAAATACACAAAACTGGAATTCAAACTGACATCTGAAACTTTGAAAGCCCAAATTCTTAGTCACTCTGCTTTACTGCCTCATCTATATGTTCAATCTTATATTATGCCACATGACTTATTTTTTCAATTAAATTAAACAAATATCTACCGTGTACCTACTATTAAAAATGCACTATATTGTAGGTAACCTGCTAGATGCTATCACAGTATAAGGAGGGACTGAATACGATATATTCTCGTGGATTTTATTCTATAACAATTTAACGAGTACTTAGTTGTTCCTTAGTACCTATCAGCTCTCATGTGATCTGCAAGAGCCATCTAGTGTCAATTCTGTTTAACTGCAATCTGCACAGATAACTGGATACAAATATGTCACAATTTATGTTTTTATAATCCTACTGATTTTGAATCCTACTAATTTAAAAGAATGTAAAACATTTAATGCACAAAATGAGAAATAATTTCAATCTTACTTTACATTTATTCCCATGGAAAATTCGGTCTTGAAATTCTTTCAATTCTGAATGATATAAGGTGTTCACTCAATATATAACTGAGACTTTAAATACTCTATACTAACGTTTTCTAACTTCAGGCATTTCCTTTTCTGATTTCTGGAAAATCTGCATATCTCCAGAAGCGGTTTTCACTTAAGAGAATGCAACAATAAAAATAGGAAAATTGGCAAATGAGAATATATATAGTTGATCCTCACTAATTCGAAGACTCCGTATCTGCAAATTCACCTACGTGATAAAATTTAGTTGTAACCCCAAAATTAATACTCATAGCACTATCACAGTCATATGTGAACATGTATAGAGAAGCAAAAAATATGAATCACCCTAATACACTTTACCAGCTGAGGCTGAATGTACTGACACTTTGCTTTCTTATTTCAGCTCTTACACTGCAAACAAGTGTCCTTTTTACTATTTAGTGACATGTTTTTCACATTTTTGTACATTTTGTTGGTGACTCTGTTGTTTAAAATGGCCCCCAAACATAGTGTTGAAGTGCTTTCTAGTGTTCCTAATTGCAAGAAGGCTGTGATGGGCCTTGCCGAAAAAATATCTGCGTTAGACAAGCTTCATTCAGGCATGAGTTATAGTGCTGTTAGCCATGAGTTCAATGTTAATGAATCCACAATATATTAAATAAGTGTCTTTAAATAGAAACATACATAAAAAAAGGTTATGTATTAATCAACAGACAAAAATGTTACGCAGAGGTTTATAGGAACCTAACCCTATATTTTCCCCAGGAGCAATGGTTCAGTACTTGCTAATTCAGTGTTCCTGGTGACTCTAGAGAACACAAGTACTGCAGATAAAGAGAATCAACTATAGTGATTGATAGTCTCTATTCTGTTCTAATTCCCCAGAAACAGCAGAAAGTTTAGGTAATAAAGTTCCGAAATATTCCTGAGTGCGCGGAGCACTGACTTAGAAATTTATGTAGTGTAAAGAATTAATTTCTACAGTATTATCTAATTTAATCTTAATCCTAAATAAGATCTGTTATGTCAAAGTTTTGATGTTTCATTTTTTGATGTTTTATATTTTATATTTTGATGTTATATTTTTTCCAGTATATATTAAAATAACTATATCACTATTAAAAATGTTTAAGGGTACATATGCTTATCGCCAACATTATCTCATGCACCACCTATGCAATGATTCGTGTACCAACACTGAAAAATGAGTCATATTTGAGGAAACTGCTATAGATCTCACAGAAAAAGTTGTTACCAAACTTTTCAATTATGAAGACTCTCTTCAATAAAGAAATTTTGCAAGTTCCCAGCTAAAAATAAACACTTTTCTCGATTTCAGATTAGGAATACTACTACAGATTATAATACAAAACAGAATATAGCATTCAGCATGGAAATAATACAAAGAAAGTATAACAGAATTCAAAGTGAATATTCTACCAGATGATACATCAAGAACAAATATTTTGGTGTATACCTGTAACTGTGTTAAACTGCTGAGATAATGGCTTAAGAGCACATTTTTGATCCAAAGACTCTGCATTAGTGACAGGCTGCTGCCCATAGACAGAATGTCTCATTAAGATGTTCTCTGCTGCTGCTGTCAACCTGGGCCTTTGTCCTTCACTAATTTCACCCACACTGCTTTCCAAGTCCTGCAAAAAGTCGAAACAATTGTTAAAACCATTATATTAAAGCCAAGTCAAAACAGGAAATATTTGTCAAATACCATGCACGATACAGACCACTTGACTACCTAAAGGTATTTTAGAAGGTGCTTATTATATCACCTACATGGTACATGAAAGACAAGTTTAAAAAGTTAGTTTAATGAGGTACCTAGCCATAGGCTTTCTTTTTAATATCTTATTTTTATGAAGTTAAATAACCATTATCTATTTTTTCAACCTTTGAATTAGATATCAATAAAATACATGAGAAAATTTTTATTATTTAAGACACTAAATGCTGGAATACATTACATATTGTTCACAAAGCTTCAAATTAGAATAGAAAATTTATCTCTCATTCTTCATTAAGAACAATTGCCTAAAGTTGTTAGTGTAAACTTTATAGTAAACAACTGACGAGCAGAATATATCTTAAATGATATAAAGATTATGTCTATACAAATAATTACATTTTTAATAAGAAGTATGACTAAAGAAGACTACTTTATGTTTAATAAAGTTCTTTACCTGGGAAAGTATGAGAGCAAAAAAAGTACAAATATGTTTCTTTATCAAATATATGAAATAAAAAACTTTTAAAAAATTAAGACTTCTATTTTCTTTCTGTTATTAAAAATTAGATATCTAATCATTACCATGTTTTGTGACTTGGAGATATTCTAATTAATAAATTTACTAAACAAGACATGAATAAATATCCCAATATCTGGAAGCTCTCATGTTTCTCACTTGAAAGGAGTTAATTTTAACCAAGTGGAATTTTTTTACTAGAATATGTGAAGAAATCACTGCTGAAACAGAATTCAAGATTTTCTATAACTTGCCCTAATTCTTCTCTACACACTTCTATCTCTCTTTGATCCCTAACTTGACTTTTCTTTGGGAATACCAACTGCCTAAACATCATTCAAATAGAAAATGATGTTTTGCAATTAATATGAAACCCTTTGAGACTCTTGGGCAAAGTTTAGAAAAACAATGGCGGATATATTTTCTCTAGAAATTAATTAGAAATATTTCACAGTGCCTATATTATTCTGTCACTACCATGTAAAATGTTGTGTAATATACAGTACTTTCTCTATTATGAATCAATTTTCTAGGGTACTTATAACTGCTGAACACCTTAATACTTTATGATCCTACTGAAGATTTAGTTAATCTTCACAAAATGCTCTCACACTCATACATATTGTTTCTGTATTATACTCAAAGCTTAATTCTTTCTTTCTAAGTTACGCTGTCTATAACTAATAGTAATGTATATAATCCAATTACATAAATGTACGAATTGCAGTTTTGCCATCATACTGCTCTCACTGACCTAAAGCCCCCTCTGGGCAAGGAGTTTTAAGCACAAAAAAAAAGCTGCTTTTTTCTTACCAAAGCAATATTTCAATATATAAATATATCATTATTACTAGTTCTTATTATAAACAAATACTTAATAGTTCTGTAAACATGAAAATATGTCAAATGTTAAGCAGACTGGCAAATCTTTAAGATCAAGAACTTCATGTGTCATATGGGAAAAGAATCTCATATAGTAAAGAGCAATTTATTAGTACTTAAAATATAAATGCCTGTACCTTTTGAGCCAGCAATTCCACCCCTCGTTAACTGATCTAGCGAAATAATTCTTCACAAGTGCAATAGTTTGAATAGAAAAAAAGTGGAACCAATCTAAAAAGCCTTCAATAGAAAAATTATGGTATACCAAATGGTAGATTAAAAGAATATAGTAGCTCTTCAAGATTTATAGTTAAATTTTTAAAACCAGGTTGTAGAACAATGCATATATACACCTCGAAATTCTACGTATGCATGCATGCACACAGGTGCAAATACTTAGATTCTTAGAAAAAAAGTCTGGAGAGGATAAATTTCCAACTTCTGGGCTTCTGGCTTTGCCAGGACTACATACTAACGAAGGCTGTCAAGCTCCCTATCCTCAAATCAACCTTAGAGTAACTTAGAAATGAGAAGAAAGCATGGATTCTGAGAACTGAGTAAAAATTGTAAAAAAAAAAACACTGAGAAAGACTGATGGCTAACTTGATCTGGTGTGTTTGAAGAAATGGGCTGTATCATGAGGAGGTGGTGGTAGGAGGGGCTTTAGTCAGAGGAATGATTGGGGCAAAGCACTTGTTTTTTTCCCTCATCAACCTGAGATCATCACTGCTTGCCCCTTAACCATGAGGATCTTGGCAATGACCCAAGCTGAGATATTAGTAAGCCCAGAGCAACATCAGGGAGCAAGAAGGCCCAACTGGGGTGAAAAATTACAGGTGAAATCTGACCAGGAATCCATGGGCATTCATTCCTTCACCTTCTTCTCTAAACCTCAGGACTACATTATGAAACCTCCATACTCCTTCTTAAATATCTTAGCTTGTGACTTCCTTACCCAAAAATATCTTAATGGGCTCTACAGTACCTTTCTACCACCTAAGGTTATTTATGATCACCTGGTTCAACCTACTTCTCCAGATTGATCTCTTTATCTAAAGCTCTAGTCACATGAAGATTTTCAACACTTTCTAAATATGCCCTAATCATTTTTGGCTCTTGTCCTTAACATATGCTATTTCTGCTTCTGAAATGTCCTTCCTTTTCACTGCTGCCTGGAAAAATCCTATGGGTCTTTAAAGATTCACATCAATATCATATCCTGTAGAAAGTGTCATCAAACTTCAAGTGGAGTTTTCCATCCTTTGAGCGCATACAGACATACAAACACAGCTATCTGACCTTTTATTGGCACTATATGGTAATCGATTAAGCCCTTCTCTCTACATGACTGCTAGCTATTTACAGGTAGGAGTCCTATCTCCTTCTTTTTATCTTTTTATCTTTTCCAAGGTTGTGTCTGGGATATAGCAGATACTCAGTAAGTGGTTGTGGAAAGAAAAAAATGAATGAATGATTCTCATATATCGCTTAAAGGAGCTTCGTTTTTGTTTTTGTTTTTGTTTTTGTTTTTTTTAACTGTAGTATAAGAAGGCTGGAACAGATGGCCCAAGTGCCTTTCAGCTGTAAAACTCTATAGTTCTGTAATTCCAGGGTAAAGTTACTACAATCTGACCCCCAAATAAATTGAAGTATTAGTATGCTTTAACTGAAAGTAGAGATAATTTAGTTATTTTTTTCCTGCATGTAGATCTAACCAAAAAAAAAAAAAAAATGGTTCAAAAGTACCTCTGAATGATTGACTGCTTGATGTGAAACAAGTGATTCCTGGTTTTGTTTAGCAAGGAGAGAAAGAACTGCATCTCCAAGAAATTTGTTATGGGGCATTCTAATCACTTGTCCTTCACTGGGAGGATCATCTTCCTGAATGAAATATAAAGACAATTACTACATCAAAAAAATTCTATCAAACAATTGTATTTTTCACAATTTATGATTACTAAAATTCAGCAGTCATCATGAAAATGGTCATATTAGCACTTTATGAAAAGAAGATGGATTCTCCATTTTCATTTAGTTCTCATTCCCATTTGACTGTATTAAAAACCCTTTATGTTTGATTCAAATATAAACTATAATATAAAGTAATTTTGTTACATTTAAACTGGAGATTATAAACACATGAAAATTAACTATGTCATATGACTAAGTTACAATGATTCATAAATATTTTATACTTGGGCTCACAAGGTTTCCAACTTCCTTTATGTAGTACCCAAAGCAATGCCACAGTGTGATAAGGAGGCAAAGCACTATAGTGATGCTGCAACCTAAACAACAAGCAAAAATGAAAACCTGCAGAAATATGTTAAGGCATCTATAAGACCTTCAATTGTCCCTTTGCCTTTGTGCTGACCGCTGGTACTTGGCTAGGGAACAGGTTAACTGTGAGCCCTCACTGGAACACCCAGCCTAGGCTTCTTGGTGCCTCAAATTAAAACTGTCCCCAAAAAGAGGGACAGTGTGGGCCTAAGAGTCAGAGAAACTGGATTCCCTTGTAAATACAAGTATTAATATGATTTTAAATTCCATATTTTTTTTTTTTACTTAAGTATTTTATTTTGAATGAAATAAAGTTTATTAACTCTAGATTACAAGTCCTTATTTCCCCAGCTGTATACAGATAAATATCTACTGGCACATAAAAGTTATTCCCAGTTTTTCAAGATTGTACTTCTGCATTTGACTTTATTATGAATTTGTAGTGTATCTGATTTAGTCTTAGTAAAAATATCAATTAGAGTTTCATTTCAAATGTAGAAAATGAAAGATGTTATAATTAGTACTGGTTCAGTTCGGCTATTTACTTTGAACAAACTTAAACATGCTTTGGCACCTTCAAGTTCTAAGAATGGATAAAGATGCCATAATGACATTAAATAGGCCAAATGACAGTATAATGCTTATCTCAAAATAAAGACATCTCATTTATGCTTTCCTCCCCATATTATTTTATAAATTATATCTATTAAAATATATAACATGATAACTTAAGGGCCATTTTTTTCTTCCACAGAGCTAGATAATAACAAAAAAGGGTTAGTATCTCTGGGTCCTAGTTCAGTATTTTTTAAAGCCATTGAATTCAATTATTTTTTAGCACAAAGAATTATTATAATCATGGTTAGGGAAAACACAAATGTATTATAAGAGAGTTGGTTTAAACAGCTAAGGTCCTGCCTAAAATATTGTAAAGGCAACATCCAACATCAGCTAGCATTTCATTACCTAATTACATTAATATTTTTCAAGTACTGGAGCCACAGAGGTTAACAATTTTCATTCTCACAATTATGATAAAGAGATATGTAAGAAACCTTAAGTTCCTTCATGGATATTTTATTAAATTTTATGTCTATAAGCCAAATATTTGAGAAAAAGCCCTGCTCAATGGCAAGAAGTTCATCGAGAAATTCTTCACATCAGAATTCAATGTGGAGTCAATCATTTCTTACCATTTCATGGGCATCATGCAGAGTACTAGATAAGCTATCATTTAGGTTTGTCAGATACAGTCCTCCATCTCCTAGAACTAGAAATTAAAATGTAAAACTTTAGAAAAAAGAAGAAACATAAATTTAGAAAATATCTGACCATAAAGCCATAGAACATTACATTTAAACTACTACAATAAAAACACTGGCAAATTTAATAAATAATAAATCACAAGTTAATTTCACCAGTATTTTTAAAGTATATTTTTCAACAAAGATCTATTTCTGTTTCACAGGCTTGTCACAAATTAAAAAGAACTATGAACATCAACTATCACTATGAAATTGAGAAAAAGGCATGCCTATATACTACTAATGTAATTTAAAACTGGTTAACCTTTCTGAAGAGCATATTGGCAACGTGTTGTTATTTTAAAGGTGCATTCTCTGACTCAGCAATTCTGCTTCTAGGTATGTATTCTAAGTTGTCAGATAAGTGCACATATATATATATGTATGTGTGTATATATATTTGTACACTTATCTTATATATGTATGTGTGTGCAAGGATGGTCAATGGAGAGTTTAGTATGGAAACTTTGAAAACAATCTAAATGCCCGCCACTATGGAAGCTCTGTTTTAAATAAATAGCACAGCCACTAAAACAACAACAACAACAACAAACGATGAGATGGAGCTATATGTATTCGTATAGAAAGATACCCACAATATATTATTAAGTTAAAAACTTCAGGTTTCAAAACAATATGTATAGTATGATCTTATTTCTAAAAATAAAAATACATACACATACAAATGTATTGAGTTATTTATATATGGATAGAAAAGACTCGAAGGGAATAACCCAAACTATTAGGAGTGATGTTAATTCTGGAGGGTGAGATTTATGAGGTTAAGATCCAGAACAGTTAACGTGCACAGAGTCCATATTCTTTCCACTATGCCATGTTAAATTTTGAAAATTAAGTAAAAACATTTTGAACAGAAAAGTATTATTTAGGAATTATCAAAATCTAAGTATTACTTAGGAATTATCATTATCTAACCAATGAAATCAATTGATACAAGTTAACTTACTCCTGGGAGCCACTTTTTGACTACAGTCAAATAAAATCTCTCCTTCAGAGATGTGTCTATCTAGAGTTTCAGTTTCAGTGGCAGTAATGCTCAAGGTGCTCTCCACTGTTGAGGAATCAGAACTTGGTATCTGTATGGGGGAAGGGGCCTTGGTGTCAGCACGAAGTGGCATCAAGGGAACTGGCTTTGGAGGTACTGGTTGAGCAGTGAAATCCATAACCTCAGGTTCTTCATCCCTGGCCACAGACATTACACTAAGAAGAAAAAGACATATTTCGAACTTATTAGGTCACTGAAGGCCTATATTAATTTTGATATTCAAAAGCAAATTCAAAGGTAATATGCCTCCAGAAAAGTATTTCTAAAATCTGCACTACTATAATTAATTAACAAGATTTAGTTTTCAAAAATTGTTTTCATGCTTTAATCATAGGCCATCTTGAAAGTTCTACCATCCACAAATAAATCTGTTTTGGGGCTTGTTCAGGGTGACATGGCCATAGACCATGGACTGTGGCTCCTCTGGGGCGTGAACCCAGTATCTTCTGCGTGTAAAGCAGATATGCTAACCACTACACTATGGAACCAAGTCCAAAAACATTTTCTATTTTATTGACAGTATGTTCTCAAAAAAATCTGTTTAAAAAAATGTAAAGTATAAATAAATTTGGTAAAATTTAAAAAACTTAAAATTTGTGAAATCGCTTTCTACTAATGTATACAGTAGCTAGTGATTTACAAAGCTTCATTTATCATTTCTGATGTTTTCAATGGGTCACATAAGTCAACTTCAAATGAAATGTACAGTTACTAAAAGTGAGTATGTTATCTTTACATAGCTCTCGGGTGAAGTTCTTCTTGAAGAGAGCTGGGATTCTCTTCTTCCAATGGCAGGTCTCCATCACCCCACGGCTTGGGAAACTCTGGATTTGATATCTTCAGTTTATCGATAGAAATCTCTGACAAAGTTGGGGTAAGAGCTGCTGCAGGAGGAGGTGTAGTAACAGGGGTAACTACTGGAGTATTAACAAGTGTGACAGCAGGCATGTCATTGCCTAAAGATTTTTTTAAAAAAAGAAAGAAAAAAGTCAAAGATAAAAGATAAAAGAATTCCACAGGAAGACAAGATATATTGTTTCAGAAGTCCTATAATATTTTGGCATACAAATAATGGCAATAATAATTAATCATAATAATGGCCACTAATGGAAAAATTCCCAAATTAATTATGTAAAATATAAGAAAATAACCATGGAAAGCATCGTTTTTAACACCAAAATGAACTTAAGGTAGTCTAATTGTCTATTAGATTACACATTTTAAAAAGTAGCAACCAATTACTTAGTTTCCACGTAAGAAAAAATGATGTCTTAAAAGCTGATAAGCAACAAGTATATGTATGTATACTAATCTATAAAATATTTTATAAAACAAACCATGAAATTTTCTTTAATAGTTGCTAAAATTAAAACTGAGTAAAGAAATAAGGTATCTACCTTTTTCAGCAAATATTTCCTTCACAGGAAAAGCTACATCGTGATCTGAATCACAGGGAGAAGAATCTGGAGTTTTTAGCAACACATACTCCTTAGGAAGTGATGAAGGCGAGCGAGGAGGAGTTGGCTGTGGGGTAGCCACTGGGGTACACACTCTTGCCTAAAATAAATTAATAAAATAAGGTAAATTTGCAGATAATCACCCAAAGGTAATGTGAAATAATAAAATAAGTTCACTCACAGATTACATAGAATTTAAATGAATCAGGGAGAAAAACAGAGCCCTAAATATTCTGGCTTTTGAACTTCTAAGCTATTAGTTTCACAACGAGCCTGTAGAAAGCCTCAGGCGACTGAAATATTTCTGCCTCTGAAATAGCCACCCCCACCCCCCTAAAATAATCTAAGCCTGCCTCTTCTGATACGGAGAAGATGATTAAACAGACACAGACGAAGATCAAACTCAAATACAACCTTAGGTAGACCATGTAACAGAAAGAAAGCATTTTAATTAACTGACAAGATATCAAAAAATCAATCTTTTAGCACAAAGGAACAGAGCTTGTAAAAAGCAATGGAAGAATAAGAACAAGTGTGGGGGGGTGAAATGAAGACAATATAGAGGTGAAAAGTACTGGGGAAGAAAAGAATAAACATTTTAAAATCAATTTGTTAAGTAGATCATCATTCAAATGATTCAAAATTCAAAAAATAGAAAAGGATGATAGTGAAAATTAGGTCTCCCTTCCTACTCATGTCCTATCTATCTAGTTCTCTTCCCCAGAGTTATCAAATATAATCTTAAGTCATTCCATATGTATAGATTATCTACGGAATAAATTCCCAGAAGTGAGACTGCTCATTTAAGAGGCTAATTGCATTTTTAATTTGAATACATGTTGCCAAATTTCCTTCTAAGGGTTGTGTTAATTTACATTAACACCAGAAAGTATGAAAATTCTCATTTCCTCAAGGTTTGCCAAATAATGGCATTATTAAACTTTTAGAGTTTTACCTGTCTAAGCAGTAAAAATAGGATTTCTTTCAGTGATTTTCTTATTATTAGTGAGACTGAACATCTTTTTATATGTATGTGCGCCATTTTTTGTGTGTGATCTGTCTAGATATGTCTTTTCTCCACTTTTCAAATACATTACTTGACTTTTTCTTCTTATTTAAAGGTCATTATGTACTAGGGTGATTAACCTTTATTCTGTATTATGAATTACAAACTGAATCACAATTTAAAAACCATGAAGCATATTAGAAATTCTATAGTATTGCTTAGTAATTAGCATATTCTTAGCCTTGATTTTTAAATGAAATACACTCTATTTTTTTCTTGACTGCATAAACCTATATATCATAAGAGCACTGTTTTCAAACACTACTGACTCATCATCCTGAGAGGATTTGAAGGTATTCTGCTAGTATTGGTAATGGATAATGATGATAAACTATTAGTTACTGAATATTTACCACATCCCAGGTGCTAGATTAAGCTCTTTTAATGTATCATCTCATTGGATCTTCCATAAAATCTTATATGATGGCTAAGAAGATACAGTATCATAAAGACGTCAGTTCTCCGCAAGTTAAACCAATCAAAATTGGATTAATTCCCATAAAAATCCCAACAAAATCTTTTATGAAAACTAATTTAAAAATATATTTGGAGGGCCAAGAAAAGACATGACAATTCTGAAGCTAAGAAACAATATGACAGTGGGGGAGAGGAGTTTGCCCTCCTAGATATTCAGTAGGCAGATTTTGGTTAAGCTGTGTTTAAACTCTAAATATTTTACTCTGTTATACAGATGAAACTAAAGAAAGAGAGCTGAGGCTTCAAATTCAGATCTTACCAACTCCAAAGTCCATGCTAGTAACAATTAGATATACTGCTTATTTATATTGATTTTTCTACATTTTCTCATTCAGTTACCCTCATGTAAGTATGTGCATTATACGGACAGTAAACAAACTAAAGTTAATTAGCACTGAGAAAACCATAATCCTGATGACATCTGCACTGCACAAGTTACCAACGACCTAATAAAGGACAGACCAAAACTATGTCCTAAATATCCTGCACACTAATCACATTACACAAATTACACTACTTATTTAAATTTTATGGAGACTGGTTTTGGTCTGTCCTTTATTATGTCTCAAATGAGTCAATTTAAATGTTTCACCTACATAAAATGATGTCTTCGTGATCTATAGGATCAGAAGTGTCTACGAATTTTTTAATAGAAAGTAATATAGAGTACATTTTGGTTTCGTATAATTTTGTGTTGCTACTGTGGGGGCTCAGAACAAGTCACCCCAAGATGTACTTCCATAGTGCACATCGTTTTTAGCTAAAGGCAACTTTAGCTTCAGGCTCAAGAGAAACTTCTGCTCCTCCCTTTACCTAGAACTTAAATTAGGGGTCTTGCCCATAATAAAAGATTATACTAATTACTGAACATGCAATGACCTTCTGAAGCCCCAAGGTACATTATCTCATCCCTAGCTCAGAATGTCTTATGTACCCATTTTCCCTTTCTGTCTCTGAACATCTTATGCATACAGGGACTCTGACTCCCTCATATATACAGAGTTCTCATACATATGTATGTATTAAATTGGTTATTTTCTTGTTAATCTGCTTCATGTCTATTTGAATATTAGACCAACCGAAAGAACCTTTAAGGGTAAAGTTTCTTCCTCCCACACACTATAATAGATTAGAAACTCAACATAATAAGACTTATTAAACAAATAACAACAAAAGTACTTAGAACATATTTTCTTTTAAAAACTAATAATATCAGTTCACATTATAACCAAAAGCAACATGTGATCATTAGTTGTATCTTAAATTTTTTTTAAAAAAGGTATAAAAGCTATTTTTGGAACAATTGGGGAAATTTGAATATAGACTATACCACATAGTATTAACGTATCAATGTTTAATTGTGGGAGTATGATAATATTATTTCAATTATGTAAGAAAGTATCTTGTTCTTAGGAGATACTGCTGCTGCTTTTAGAAGTGTCATGATATCTGTAACTTTCAAATAATTTTTTAAGAAATATAGTAACATATGAAGACAGATAAAGGAAGTATGTAAAATGTTATCAACTGATAAATATAGGTAAAGGGTATATGTTCATTTTTTCATACTTTCAACTTTACTGTGGATTTAAAAGTTTTAAAATAAAATGCTGGGGGAAATGGTACTATAATCATAACAACAAGGAATCAATCTCCACCACAAACTATGACCTTATGATATTAATTTAAAACTTGTCCATTTTACTGCTCTTTAATAAATGTATCAGAAGTTCCCCAGGACCCCAAGTTATGAAATGAGAGTCATGCCTACCGGCAAGTATGTTTTGCTTGTTGAAACCTCCCCAGAAACACTTGTAGCAACGGGACCCTGCTTCTTTGCTTCTCTGTCACCCAGCATGACAGCAATGGTCTCAGCAAGAGCTTCATTCACAAAATGACTAATCATGTGTGAATTCACAGGAACCCCAGCATCGACAAAAAGCTGGAGGGCTCCACTGCTTGTTCCTTCCACTAAAAAAATGAAAGAATTTCAGAATAAGTGTGCAAGAAACATGTTTTCAATCCAAGCCTTACTTATTAAAATTTTAGAGACACAAACATATGTGTACGAGGAGGTGGGAAGAGGAATAAAAATACATCTACTAATTATGAAAGAGAATAAGATGATAACTTACATAACAAACATCCTCTTTAAACATACGAAAAAGGGAAGGAAAACGTACAGATGAAAATATACTTATATGACCTCTTTGCTACCACAGAATTCTGTGATAAAAAAGATTTACACCACATTAAATATTCTATCTGAAAACAATCCACGTTTCAAAGAATATGCAACAGGAAACCCCGTGATAGATCTTGGTCAAAACACAAAGACACAATGACTGTTGGGGGACTTTAGAGAAATGGTAACTGCTTTATAAATATGAAAACTATCTTCCTTCTAGTTTCGTATACATCAGTTATTAACACTAAAGGCTGACTCTCCTCAAACTTTAATAGTAGTTGAGGTGCTTGGTATCAGAAGCTCCAAAGGTGTATTAATTTTCCAAATAGGTTGTATTTTCACCTGTATGAATGTACATGAAATTTAGTAAAACTTCCTTAACAGATTTTTCTAGACTTAAAGTTGCTAAATTTCTAAAGCTTTGTGTGGAAAACATGTAAGACATGATCTATACAACTTGATGGAGATGTGACCTTTCCAAAGAATGTTCCTTAATTAGTACAACTATGCAGCAACATTAAAAAGTCCCTAAAAAATGGATGTATGTGTCTTGGGATCACTTGTTGAGGGATAAGCAATAGTAATTTACTTTGGAGTTACCATAGCAAAAACTATTACAATCCCTAATTTATATTCGACATTTAATGTCAATATGTCTCTTTTTTCGTTCCCATTGTTTGGGCATGACCAAAAATCAGAACATCTTCTGTTGGAAAGCCCAAAAGCCCTATCTATACATAGGCAAAATAAAAGCAAATGGATAGGCTCTTAAAGAGAAAACAGGATCTAATTACCTAATTTGGAAATTTTAAGATTTTCATCCAGAAAAATATCAATTTCCTCATCACTTTGTTGGTCAGTTTTTTCCTTCCTTCGAAAAATGAGATAATGAAAGAAAACCTGAGGAAGTAGCCATAGAGGAGGCATTCGAGTTATACTACATAGGAAGGATTAATCAAATTCAACAATAAATTGTATGGATCTAGGCTGTGACTGGGAAGTGACTGGGGAAGACCAAAGAAAAGAAAATAGAACAAACAGTAACTCCGAGGCTTTGGAGATTGAGTGCTTAGAAAGTTGTGATAATATTAACAGAAATAGAAACAATGGAAGAGCAGTTTGGGTTAGAAAAATGAGATACATTTTGGACATGCCGAGTTTTGGATGCCAGCAGAACATCAAGTAGAAATATTCATCAACAGGCAGACAGAAAGTCTGGAAAAGAGATCTACACATATATAGCTGATTTTCAACAAGAATGTCAAGGCAATTCAATGGAAAAAAGGGTAATCCTTTCAACAAATAATGCTAGAACAACTGGATATCCATATACTAAAAAAATAAATCTTGATCCTTACTTCACACCATACATAAAAATTAACTCAAAATGTACCATAGGCCTAAATGTATAGTCTTAAACCATATGTCTTCTAGAAGTAAATATAGAAAAAAATCTTAATGTTCCTGAGTTAGGCAAAGATTTCTTAAATAGTACACCTAAAACATCACAAACTATAAGAGAAAAATTGATAAGTTAAACTTTATTAAAAGTAATCCTTTGATCTTTAAAAGATAACGTTGAAAAAAACAAAGGTTAAGATACAATTAGAACATATGTGCAAAACATATACCCTATAAAGAACTTGTATCCAGAATAAAGAACTTTTACAACTCAATAATAGGAAGACATAAAGCTCAATTTAAAAATGAGCAAGCCATTTAAAAAGATACTTCACCAAAGTAAATATACAGGCAAATAAGCATATGGAAAATTGTACATCATCATTAGTCTTTAGGGAAATGCAAATAAAAACCACAATGAGCTATCTCTAAATGTTTACAGAATGGCAGAATAATTAAAAACACTGACAACAGCCAGCATTGGTGAGGACATGGGGCAACTGGAACTCTCAAATACTGCTGGTTGGAATGCAAAATATAATAGTTACTTGTAAAGTTAAACATCTATTTACCATATGACCAAGAAAGATTAAAAGATGTGTTTAAAAAATTTGTTTGCAAATATTCATATCATAGCTTTATTTATAATAGCCCCAAACTAAAATATTACAAATGTCCATCAACTGGTACATGGATTAACAAATTATATCCATACAGTGTAATATTACTACATGCAACATGATTGTTGAAGCATTAAGCTAAAGAAGACAAACACAAAGGACTATGTACTATATGATTACAAATACATAAAATTCTGAAAAAGGCAAAAATACAGTAATTGAAAGCAAATCAGTGGTTGTTAGGGCTGGGTGGGCATAGGAGGGGGTTAGGAATTAGTTCCAAAGTGGCATAAGGGAACAACTTTTTTGGATGACAGAAATGTTTTTTAATATCATGATCGTGTGGCTAATGTACAGCTGTTTATCAAAACTCATCAAACTGTACAATTAGAATTGGTGAATTTTATGGCAAGTAAATTGTACCTGTAAAAAGCTGATGGAAAAGGAGGGGAAAGAAAAGGGAAGAGGAGGGAGAAGCAAAAGAAAAAAGAAGGAGGGGGAAGAGAAGAGAAAATAGGAGGAGGAAGATGAGGAAGAAAGAGGAAGAAGAGAACAATGTGGGCTCCATAAAAAAAGAGGCTCATTTATTCACTCAGTGAATACTTATATTCTTATTAGGTGTCAGTCAAGGGCTCGGCACTAAAGGAGAAACAACTTTAATTCCGAGTAATTTTTATAGTCTAGTGAATGAGACAGATATGTAAACCAATCTTAATACAATGTGATAATTACTAAAACAAAGATATATACAAAGTACTATGGGAAATAATAGATTTGGGGTGGGATGGATGGAGGGTAATATAATCATTTGAATGCTGCAGTATGAAATAAGAGAGTGAGGGAGAACTAATGTCCATGACAGAGAAGAACTGAGAAGCAATATGGGAAGAGCTTGTCTTTTGTCAGCCAAGGACTACTTGACTTCTAGACTACGTAAGTCCACAATGACCTGAACATAACCTTTTAATAACAAAAAAGTTAAAGAGATTCCATTTCACTTACCAATGTCAGAAGTCAACGGTTCACTTGCCTCACTGCCTGAAATACTGACGTTAGCTAGGGCCTGTTGTTGGATTGGAAAGAGCCCAGAGATAATTCTTGACATTATTTCTTGTTCTACCCTAGGAGATAAAAGGATTCCTGAATTTGATTAAAATGTATAAAGTGTTAGAAACACCACTCTAAAAAATAACTTCTACCCATGGACACAACATTTACATGTGAAGCAGGCATTCTGAAAGCCAGATCTGAAAAGGAGAAAAAATCAATTGTATTCCCTAGCGAAATAAACCATGTGAAACAGATCTTCATGTGGGAGATAGTTCATTACATCAAATTAAAATCTTTCAGATTAATTTAATGAAAAGTTTAACAGATCTCCTAAATTCATAAGGTTTAGGTCAATGATTAGCATATCATATACCTAAAATGTTGGGTTCCCTACTCTGAAAGCACACATACAAAACCATACAAGATCAGAGCTAGAAAAAAAGTCTAGCTGCCCTCTCTTCGAGGAATATAGACTGCAATACAGGTAGGTAGTATTCTCCTTAAAGAGGAAAGAAAATTTATTTCCAAGGTTGTTTTCAGGAAGGAGAGAGGGAAGGAGAAGGGGAAAGGGAAGGGGAACACAATAGGAGACTACTTCTGTATGTTAGAGCAGCTAATAGAATGAGTAACAATTACGATTATTCAAGTAATAGATGTTCATTGTGAAAAAATCAGAAAATTTATAAAAGTTAAAAAAATAGATAAGGCTCACTCATAATTCAGATTCAGAGATAAACACAGTTAACAATGTGGTATGTTTTTCCACTTTATTTCCTATGCACATTTATTTTCGTGAGTTCTTTTCTTTTCTTTTTTTTCCTTTAAGCCTATAGCACCTGGTAGTCCTAGGTGGTCTCCCATCCGAGTACTAATCAGGCCTGATCCTGCTTAGCTTCTGAGATCAAACGAGATCAGGCATGTTCAGGGTGCCATGGCTGTAGACTCTATTTTTGTGAGTTCTTATAAACTACAGTTAAATCAGTAGTTTAACACACCAGTGTGTTATTAATCTTTCGACATCATTAAATATTCTTCTAAACTTAATCTTGATAACTGTATTAATATTCAGTTTAGTTTATTCCATAATTTCCTTAAGATTTCTCACAGGTAAAAACAGGGATAAAAAATAGTTCATAAGTTTATAAAAGTAACAAACACAATAGCACTTTGTAATAAGTGTCGTACATGCTAAGTAATCTATCACCTAATATCAGAATTATTTCCTAAGGATAAATTTCTGGAAGTAAATCACTGGATTAAAGAATATGTACATTTTTAGGCTTTTGTTACTTAACAATAGCCTCTTTTGCCATAATAAACAGTCTAAGTAAAAATGCTCAAGGACAGAAACTCACCATTGAATTAAGCTATTTTCCAATGTTTCTTTTCTCTGAATTACTTTATCCAGAGTATCAGCAGTGGGCTGAAAAGTAGAAGCAACTGGTGGAAATGGAGGACCATTATATTTTGTGGAAACAACTTTAACACCTCTGTTAAACTCCAGAATTGGTTCAGAGTATTCTGGAATTTCATCGCATTTTTCCTCTTCCTGGTAATAAAAATAAAACTATTATATTCATGTATCTGTTCAACATTTACTGAGTGACAAGAATAGCCAGGGAACTTAGGTAGGTGAATTAACCAACACTTCTAAATTAATCAACAACATTTCAATTAGATTGTATCACATTATTTATAATATATACATTTGTCTATCACATGGAAAAATAGTGGCAGAAAACAGTTTCTAAGCTTTGTTACCTGTATGACATCAATTACTTCATCAAAGTTAGTTCCTGGAAACTTCACCTCTTCTTCATCTACCTTCGTAAATTCTGGAGTCTAAGAAAGCATTTTCAGAAAGTTTTGGTTGTACTTACTGTCTTTTTAATTTATACATAATTTTTCATATTTCCACCCATAGCATAAGCTTGTAATTACATCGCCCTATTTTTTTATTTTAATACCCTGTTCAGAATTGATTTCATCAATAAATGAAATCTAAGATAGTCCCCAAAGCAATTAGGTTCTCATTTCAATAGCTATAAAAATTAAATATAAGTTTTTCTGTCAAGGACTCCACGAACAATGCAACTGAAGTCAATTGATCAAGTTAATCTGATTGTGATTCTCTCCTAGGATTAAGATAAAGTGTTTTTATGTGTGTAAATATATAAGTATATACATATATAAACTCACAAAAAGACAAGATACAGAATCAAATAATTCAGAAAGATAAAAGTTATTTTACATATTTATATTTAGTCTCTAGGCCTCAATATATATAATCTAGTCACCAAAAACCACAATAACCTCCTCCTGACAGTAGAATAATAAACAGTCCAAAAATTATTTGTCATCATGTTTTAATAAAATTATGGTGAAAAAAATTAGTGATGAAAAATTTAATTAGGCACAAATGCATTTAGGGGCAGTTCTATTTTACTATTTCTGATCCAGAAAAATTGTTGGCATTCTACCTTCCCTTAAAACTATATCCTTGATAACCAAATTTGATTACAATAGATGAAACCTGGGAAAAGTTACAGTGCTATGTTGCTGTGTAGTAAAGTCATAATTTTGTTAATAGCAAATAAATATTGGGAAGAAACATATATATTTGCATCATGTCAATAGTATAATGACAAAGTGACATGCCAAAACATGAACTCCAATAGTCACTATAAAACTTACATTCAGAAAAACTAAACTTAATTCTCATTTAACACAAGGTTCTCCAAAGAGAGAAATTCTTTCTTCACATATGAGAGCCTTACAACTTAAGTAACCAAAAAGTTACACTAAGGATTATTACTTTTGGAATGTTTATAAATGTAAGGATCTTAATTAAAGTTTCTTTTTCAAGTTCATAAGCAATCCCGGATTCATTTTGAATCTTTTCCTTAAAATCTAAATTAATATAATGGGTTATAATTATAATGGAAGACTTTGCATGGAACATCATTAGTTAGAATCCATAGTCAGACATTACTCAAAACTATAAAAATTTCTCAACAATACCTGTATCCAGGTGTTCAGAGGAGGAGATGCTTCCTTGGGACTAGGCAGAGATGGACTAACATCAGCACTACCATTTGAAATGCTATCAATATCTACATTGGGTAATACCTAAAACAAAACACAACATCCAGTTTTCTGTTCATCATTTTGACTCAAATATTTGTCAATCTATATACCAACAACATATATTTAACTTTTATTGCAGACAATGGATAAGAAATTTTTTTAATTAGAAAAAGATATTTTACAAAATTTGGAAAATAAGGGAGAACATACAAAATTCTATCTTGAAATAACTTCATTTTCACTATTCCCTTTATCTTCTTATAGATAGCTAAAATATAAAATCATTTCATTTCTGACTTTTCATTATAATTAGATCATAAACATCTTATCACACTTCCATATAGACCTCATAATTATATTTTAAGTGGCTGTATAATATTCCAACACATATACATGCCTTAATTAATCATTTTTCTGTTGGTGAACACCTATGATAGTCTAATATTTCCAATATTATATGTGTATTGCTACAAAAAAGCCATATATATATATGGTTGTTTTCCCTAAACTTTGTGAATTATTTCATTATACTAGAGATATTAGATTAACTCCTTGAGCCACAGGGCATGACTATTTGAGATTCTTGGTAATTATTGCCAAAATGAAATCCAAATGACCTCTATTTACATCACCTAAAACATAATCAATTATAAGTTTTACCCGACCTTCATCCAAATTAGATAATATAATTGTTTCAGCAATAATAGTTTTTAAATGGAGGTATATTATTTAAATTCGTATTATTTTGGTAACTAGCAAGATTTAAATTATTCAGTTTACTTGTTTATAAACTGTATTTCCTCTACTGTAGAGTCTTATTCACATTCTTTGAATATTTCTGGATTTGCATCTATGATTTCTTATTAACTTATGGAGGTTTTTATATTTAAAATTAATCCTTTTCAAGGCAAGACTATAAAATGAGGTAGAGACAGTCTCTTCAATAAATGGTGCTGGGAAAACTGGACAGATACATGCAAAAATAAAAAAACTGAACCACCTTCTTACGCCATATACAAGAATAGACTCAAAATGGATTAAAGACTTAAAAGTAAGACCCAAAACCATAAAAGTTCTAGAAGAAAACATAGGCAGTAATCTGTCTGATATTGCTACTAGTAATATCTTTTAAGACATATCTCCTTGGGCAAATGAAACAAAAGAAAAAATAAACAAATGGGACTTCATCAAACTAAATAGTTTTTGCACAGCAAAGGAAACCATCAACAAAGCAGAAAAACAACCTACGAATAGGAGAAGATAGTCACTATGATACATCCGATAATGGTTTAATATCCAGAACTTATAAGAACTAATGTAACTTAACACACACACACACACACACACACACACACACACACACACACACACACACCCTGCCACA